TGTTCTTTTTGGTGCAATTTGGCAAAAAAAGCTTTGCTGCCTTAAGCCTGGTAAAACTGGTGAAGATGCTCCAGAAGGGATAATAATGGCATGGATGGTTAGATTTAGATACTCTTCGGCAAAAAGGTTTAGGTTTAGGTTTAGGTTTATTCGATTTATATGCCGCTCTTCTCCCAAGGACTCAGGGCGGGGTACAACATTAAAAGAAACACATAATACAAAAGTTTAAAAAAAATTAAATAGAATATCCCAAACCCAATTAAAATTGACAATGACATTTTTTAAGAAAAAGAATTCAAATTCAAATTAACAGTAATCAATAATTTGTTTAGTTTTGTTCAGGCCAGGCTGGCTTGCTGGAAAAGCCAACTTTTTAGGGCGTATCGGAAGGACCGGAGGTCGGGGGATTATACGAAGCTCTGGGGCAGCTTAAACCTTAAACCAGAGCTCTGGGTAATCATCTATTGAGTTGAGATTCCGCTAGATAGCTAGATGTTTCGTCCCATCTTTTGACAGGTGTTTTTCTCCCGTTTTCAATTCTGGGGGTGAGGCGGATCAAAGCAACTGTTTTACAGAGTTGTTGGGTTTTTAAGTTACCCATACCCTGGCAGCCCATCTGCCCCTCGTTGGTAGTTACCGCATTTTTCGCAGTAAAAGACGCATTTTTTTCCTGCCAAAAGAGGGTGAAAATCTGGTTGTGTCTTATACAGTGAATACAGCATTATTGGCCTCCCAAAAATCCCGCCCCCTTTGCAAGAATGGATGTGCAAAGGATTTGGGAGGCCTGCAGAGTATTGCTGGGGGCTGTGGAGGACAAAAAAGAGGGAAAAACAGGTCGTTTTTTGCTCATTCTTGCCCCTCCCCCCACCCCCCCAGGAGCACTCTACAAGCCTCCCAAACCTCTACAAAAAAACGAGGCATGCAGAGGGTTTGGGGGGGCCTGAAGAATGCAAAAATGTTTTCTTTTTAAAATTTACCCCTTCAAAATCATGATATGTCTTATACTCCAGTGCGTCTTATAGTCCAAAAAATATGGTAGTTTTTGGCCACTTCACTTTCTCCTTGAGAGAGCGAGAGCAAGCCAGCACAAAGGAAGACATTAATCAGGAGGAAAGAGGAATCAGTGCCTTCAAAAGAAACCAATTTTTTGCAATCCAGTTTCCATTTACGAGTAGGATGACATGCGACGGGTTGTTTCTTGCCCGGAAGCGAGAAAGAGTTAACTGCGGATACACGTCCTCACTCATTAAATCGACCTTTGTCTAGAAGTGGTTACAATTTGAGGACGAGCAAAATAGGAAAAGAATATGGAGCGGATCAATCAGACCTAAACGCAGCAGGGAATTTTAAGTAAATCACTTTTCTGCCTTAGCAACCCGAAAGTTGCTCTCAGTGACATCTGGAAGCAATCAGGTTGCTGACCACGTTTACCTGTTTTAATGTCAAGCAGGTGCTTTTTCTTCTGTTGTCTTTCTAATTTTTCCTTTTCTGCTTTCTCTTGAGCTATTCTAGCACGCCTCTGTTTTTCTTCCATTTCTTTCCTTCTCATATTATCCTTTGCTGCTTCCTAGAGGAAAAAAAAATACATTATCGAATATTAATATATTTTTTTATTTTTAGATTTCAGGATGAGAACGATGACGTACGTTTGCTTGGTTCAGACCACGATGTTGCCTTAAGACTCAAGGAGTGTCATCCTTGAGGATTGCAAGACCAGATCTTCTCAACTGATCTCCGCTTTCTGGAATAGCACTCTGTTAGAATATTCATGACTGGGAGAGACATGGTAACAAGGTCAGCGAATGAATAGGCAACAACTAAGTCAGCCAATGGGAGCGTAAACAGATACGAGTCTGTGCTGAGAATCGAAACTGAAACTACCTCTGTCTGCTCTGAACTGAAAACTCCTCTCTGATGTACTGCTGGTCCATTTCCAGAGGCCAGAAATGGACCCATTTCCAGACTTCTGGGAGGCTCGTTTTTCATCCTCCCAGAGCCTCCACGCGAGCCCTGCTCCTACCTGGCCCCCGAAAAGGGCCATGTGAAGACTCGTGGGAGGGGAGGGGCCAGCCAGTACTTGCAACTACCAGTTCGGCGAATCAGATGTAAAATTAGCATCCAGTTCACCCGAGCCGACTGAATCCCATCCATGGCAAAGATGGGAAATAAAGCCAACCAGGGATAATAACAGAAGCACTTTGGCCCTTGCTATTCCCGCACATTGTATCGTTTTATTATGCACGCCTTACCGTGAACATCGTTTTGAAGTTGCTCAAGTCCGTGAGGAATTCTTCTACCGAGATTTTCTTTAAATCGATGGCATAATATTCCATGACATCCCGGTACAGATTTTCCATGCTTTTGTGTATGGTAGAAAGTTCCTTGAACTGCTCTTTTGCTTGGACGAGAAAGATGTGCTCGGCTTGTTAAAGTTATATTCAGAGTAGAGCGGTATTAAAATAAACCAAGACGGCGGATTTTTCAAAAGCCCAGCTAAGACTATTCACAAAGTACTAAGAGGGGCAGCGTGGAGAAACAGAATATAACAGATAACCTAATTTTTTTTCCCTTCTTGCAACAATAGCATTCCTCTCGCGATAGACTGGCGTTTAATATCTTTTTAGAAAAGATTTCTCATAGGAAACCAATGCAATCAGCAATTAGGCATTCCGGCAACTTTTTAAGGGCTTTATAAAAATTATGGGGAAAAATGGTTTGATACTAAACTTATCCAAATATGATTCTTTACCATAATGCTTGTGGTTTAGATTAGGGGTTACCAACCATTCGGACCTCAAGGACCACTAAATTCATAATTTTAAATTCCACAGACCACTAATATGATCTGCCTAATGACCAGCTGGGTGGGCATGGCTAGTTGGTCATGTGACTGGGTGGGCGTGGCCAACTCGATGTCACTCACGTCAAGGGGTGCCTCGCCAGCCTCTACTCACCCCTCCCTTCCCAACCACTCCTCGCCTGCCCGCCCAGAGTGCTTAAGACCCCAACAGGGAGCAGTTGTTGGAGCTAAGCAGCCACCATGAAAAAGAGTTGGCTGGCTCAGTTCAAATTGGATCTGACCGAGAAGGAGGCTCAGTAGAAGCACCTCACTGAGGACTACAAGCATAGACTTTCCAAGCAGTGGGAAGGCCTGCAGGAGTGCAAGGCCAGGTACTGGCACATGGAGGCTCAGCAGGCTGAGATGGTCAGCCAGTTCCAGGCCATGATGCAGTCCCACTGGAAAAAGGCCCTCCGGCTCTTTGCCACCAGCCTTCTCCCAAAGCTCCACACCAGGAGGCTGAAGCAGACCCCAAGTTGGAATTTCTTTCCCTCTCCGACCTATACAAAAAGACCCCAAAG